CTTTCTATGGCCCCCAGGGTTTTCACCAAATGTATAGCGGTGGTCGCAGCCCACCTCAGGAGGAACGGGCTGCAGATCTTCCCCTACCTGGATGACTGGCTGCTCAAGGGCAAGTCTCGGTCCCAGATGCAGGCTCAGGTGCAATTCCTGCTAGACACCTACACGAGGCTAGGCCTAGTGGTAAACGAGGAGAAATCCACGTTAGTCCCGGTTCAGTGCATACATTTCATAGGGCACTGTTAGACTCTCGGGGGTCATGGCCTCCCTTCCCCGGGACAGGTTCGAGACGCTCAGAAGTCTCATAGCCTCAGTCACGGCCTTCCCTGTGACAGCAGGAATGTGCCTTCAGATCCTAGGCCATATGGCAGCCTGCACCTTCGTGGTGTGACATGCCAGGTTCAGGATGTGGCCCCTCCAGCTTTGGCTGGCCTCCCAGTTTTCCCAGGCCAGGAACGGCCTGGACAAGGTAGTCACGCTGCCCTCCCCCATATAGTTGCCGACCTACAATGGTGGTCTCTCCCGGGCAACATGCTCCAGGGCATCCTCTTCCGGGAGCCCCCTCCCTCGCTAGATCTGGTATCGGATGCTTCAGACATGGGATGGGGAGCCCATGTGGGAAACTTCCGAACACAGGACAGGTGGTCGCCCTCGGAATTGTCCCTGCACGTAAACGTCAGGGAACTCAGGGCGGTACGCCTGGCGTGCGGGGCCTTCCGCCACCACCTGGGAGGGAAGGCAGTCAGAGTCCTCACGGACAATACGACCGCGATATACTATATCAACAGACAAGGGGGTACTCGTTCAGCGGCTTCGTACCAGGAAGCCCAACTCCTGTGGGAGTTTTGTATAGCCCACGACATCCACCTGAGGGCTTTTCACCTGCCCAGCAACTGCAATACGCTTGCGGATCACCTGAGCAGGTTTTTCTCCCAAGAACACGAGTGGTCGCTACACAGGGAGGAGGCCAGGCAGCTCTTCCTACACTGGGGCATTCCCCAGGTAGATCTGTTCGCCACCGCCCAGAATCGCCTATGCCCGCAATTCTGCTCCAGGGCGGGACAGGGTGAGGGGTCGATATCTGACGCATTTTTGTTAATGTGGTCGGGCCCCCTGCTGTACGCCTTTCCTGCCCTTCCCCCTGATAGGCAGGGTCCTACAGAAGGTGAAGGCATACGGGACACGGATTATCCTCATAGCCCTGGATTGGGCCCGTCAACATTGGTACGAGACCCTCCTGCAGCTGTCCGTTACCCCCCCACCACACACACAGGCTGCCTCTTTGACCGGACCTCCTCTCCCAGGAGGGAGGTCGTCTCCTCCATCCCAACCTGGCCGCCCTCCACTTGACAGCGTGGCTGCTCCATGGTTGAACGAGGAAGAAGGTGGTGTTCTGAGAGGGTTGGACAGGTCCTGCTCGAGAGCAGGAAATCATCCACACGTAGAACCTACTTAGCGAAATGGTATCGGTTCTCTAGATGGGCGAGGGAGAAGGGTGCTTCCCCCTCCTCAGCACCTCTCCAGTTCATCCTTGATTACCTCCTCGCCCTTAGAACCCAAGGGCTGGCACCCTCCTCGTTCAGGGTGCACTTAGTGGCCATCTCGGCCTTCCACCCCCCGATGCAGGGCCACTCGGTGTTTTCACACCACATGACATCCCGGTTCCTAAAAGGTCTGGATTGGGCCTTTCCGGACCCTAGACCCCCGGTTCCGCTCTGGGACCTGAACCTGGTGCTTTCCCACCTCACAGGGCCTCCCTTTTTGCCCTTGGCCAC